CCATGTTGAAATTTTTTTTCCTTTTCACGTTTTTTTCTTTTTTAAAAATATTTTTTCCTTTTTCTTTTTTTAAATCAAAAAATTACCCTCTTGGGTATCGAAACTTTTTTATAATAAATTTTTGAATTCTTTTCTTTTGTCTCTCATAAATAAATACATCTTGGTTTTTCCTCCCCTTTTTCTTGGTCTTCTTGGTCTTTTTGGGTCGTTTTTATTTTTCCTATTTTTTTTTTATTTTTTTTCTATTTTTTCCTCTTTTTTTATATTCCTTTTTCCTTTTCCTTTCCCTTCATTTCCCATGTTTTCCCTTCCTCCATCTCCAAATTCTTCCCTCCAACACCAAAAAAAAACCCTTTTCTCTACCTTTTCCTCCCTTCTTTTTTTATCATTCTTTTTCTTTTTATCTTTTCTTTTTTCTATTTCCCTCTTTTTCTCCTCCTCCTCTCTTTTCTCCCTATTTCCTTTTGTTCCCTTTTTTCAGAGTTTTTCGCTTTTTAAACTTTTTCAGTGAGTTACAGATTTTTTTAATATTCGTAAGGTTTGTTATTTATAATCCTAAAGTAGCCGTGTAAGTTTCACAGAATGCAGGAATCAGTCTATTTGTGTTTAAAAAAAGATAAATTTGGTATTGTTATCTATGGAAGAAGTCTAGTAATTTGTTTAATTAGAACTGTGTATATACTCTGGTGTCTACAGTCAGCAGCTTAAAACATTCGACTGGCAAGGCTTGAATAAATTTGTCTTCACGCTTTCAATTTAGTTAGCAGTACTGTCGTCTGCATACATAGTACAACAGAGCTTAACTAAAGTACAAAAATACATTGTAATTGTTACTTCCACTCAATATTTATTTTCATAACCCGTGAGGATTATTAACGTGACAATTTATAATATATCATCCTTTAGCCTTAGGAGACTTGTTACTATATAAATATAATCTTATAATGGTGTATTGCAAGTATACTATCAACAAAACAGCTATCGTGACAGACAGTAAGAGCACTCTGTATCTGAGGACACAATGTTTTTGTTGCATTCAAAAAGAAGTGAAAGCAAATGTCTTTTATATAACTCCTTTCTAGCAATTCTTCATTGAATCCTTTACTTCTCTTAACATCTTCCTTTTTTGTTATTTCATACTTTTTCACAGTCTCAATTCAGCGGTAACAAATTGTTTGTAAGAAGTCTCAACATTCACAGTAAAAAGTCTCTAACCATGAACCACGCAATATGATAAACGTATAGAAGAGTGCTTTCCATTGTATACAATAGCTTACTACATCTCGATAAAAGCCCCTGTCTTCCGTTGATTTTTTCATTTGAATTCTTCCACGAACTCTCTTGACTGTTAACCTCTTCAACATATTTTCTCTGTTGAATTCAACTCTCATCCACAGTCTCTTTTCAACTTTTTAACAATTCTGCTGCTCATCAACACCAACATTTGCCTTCCTCAGGAGAAAGGGGAGAAGAGGAAATATTTCCACCTTGTTGCCCCATCCGCATTGGTGAGCAGTGCCGGTATCAGCAGAAGCTTCTAATTTTCCTTTGGGAATATGACAGAGATTTCTATCTAGAAATAAGGTTTAACTAGCGCTATTTTTCTAATGCTATTGCATTTCATTTCCGTTCCTTGACTACTTTAAATCGTTTTCACGTTACTTTGTAGCGTGAGTTTATTGAGTTGCTTTTTTTGTGGGCTTCTGCGCATTTCTGGTTCTTTTACTACCTACTTGGGTAGGTTTTGCAATTCGTTTTGACCGTTTCAATTTGTTATCATAAAAAAGAATGAAAAAGAGAAAGAAGCTGGTGAGCCGGCCGAATCTTCTTTCTATGTTTCTCCTGCCAGTTCAGATAGCTGTTTGCCGCGATATAGCGAATTTTCTTAGTCGCATCTGGACAACTTGGAAAAAGGTTGCTAAAATTTACGTCCAATTTCTGCTCCGCCATATTCTGAAAAGAAGAATCAAGAAGCGTCCATGAATGCTTCTGAATTCTATATGTCAGTAATCTGATTGGTAATCTGTCCAACACAGATTGCTAGGATTCCGCAAGCTACTGTCAAAGTTATAAATGAAACTGCTCGACTTGTCCGGTGCCACGTTTTTGCACTTGTGCTGGATTTTTTATTTTAGTGCTCTTTACTAGAACTTTAGATTTATTGCCCTTTTCATTAACACAGCTTTAACAATCTCTAATTGATGTCTTCAGAATTCCTGCTACTTGTCGGTTTTTTTGGCGTACACGCTTCCTTCCATTTGCAGTGTTTAGTCAATGGACGTGGTGATAAAAAGCACAGCCATGTGTATTAAAAGTTAACAAAAGGTGAAAAAGTAGGAGGTGGAGCCTACAGCACCCCGGATTCCCATGTTGTCTCCAACCATAGTACTAACGAGGCCCTCAGACGCTTAACTGCAGTGATCGGACGGGAACTGGTGTTTTCGCCTAGGTATGGCCGTAGACATTTATATTTGAGACTTGTTTAGTAGCTAGCTGTTTGAACATTCAGGTTTCCACCTTACTGTTTTTGAGTTACCTTACAATTGGATAGCATGCTACCCTAGCAAAAGAACTAACAATGAATTGAACCTGGTATAGCGAGTGGTTTTGAAACGACGGTAAATGAATAGAAAAAGGCACCAAAGGAAAGCCTATTTGGTCACCTCAAACAAAACTCTAGCCATTGCCATTGCGGTTGTATTTTTCGTGTTTTAGAGCTGTGATGAAAGGATTTTATTTATTCCTATAGGGGGATCAAAAGAAGGTGCTTTTACTTTGGATTTTTCTTGCGCTTTTTGGTCTTTTCCTATCAATATTCGATAGTTTTCACGGCTGATCTCTGATTTTTGTAGAAAGCAATTGATGGTTTGTTTTGTTCTTTTTTCTTTAAGGATGAATGAAAAGCTGCTAGGACTTGCCAAAGCAGCCGAATCTTCCTGTGGGGTTTCTCCCGCGAGTTCTGACAGCGATTTACTGTCTTACAGTGAAGTCCAGTATTCCCATTAGGATGACTTGGAGAAGGGTTGTTTATGTTTACATCCAAGCCTCGGTCCACCATGTTCTGAAAACCAGAAAGACGAGTTCTCAAAGGATGTTTCTACAACAATTTTGGGTTGCTTTGGTGCTTCTGCAATGGAGCTGACTAAGTTCTTGCTTATTTTTAGTTCAGCGGCATTCGCGAGGATTCCACCCACTGCGAAAAAAAA